GGTCGTATGTCGAGACATAGAAGCGAAACCTGGGACTTATCTTGCGTATATATATATATATATATATATATATATATATATATATATATATATATATATATTATAAGAAATTATAATAAAAAAACATGTTTAAATCGCTACACCCTTTTGATCGATAGTATTAAGTTTATGTGGATGGGTGTATTCGTAAGTTTAGGTAAGTATGTTTGTATATATACATATATACATACGCGTGAGGTTAGGACCCCATTCACACACTTGGGATTAAAATGTATACATACTGTCAGAGGACCGGATATAACATTAGCGTCTAACGTAATTTCAATGAAGAAATAAATTGAATAACATATATATTTTTTTTCTCCTCTGTAATTTTATGGTTTTAAACTTAATAGTGATTAAATTTTTGATTTTGAAATTAGTAGTTTTTAATTTTAATATTAAATTTTATCATATAATTTAGTAATTATTGGTTAGAATAAATTCTTTTTTTAATACTACCCATATTTTAAAGATCTGAATAGCTATTATAAATTGACTTCGTTGTCCAGCTTTTTGAATTTTTCTATACTTGTATTTTGATTGGTCAATCTAGCTTTTATAACAACGTTTTCTCCTTGCGAAGGATTGTTAATTAATTCGAAACTTTTAAAACCATTTATTTTTCATTCAACATCATCACTTGATAAGACACGTAGGTGTTGAAACAAAATGGCTATTTTTGTAGTGATTTTATAATATATTTATGTTATTTTTTTTTTTAAATAAATAATTTTATATATATATATATATATATATATATATATATATATATATATATTAAAATAAATTTATAATTCCGCAAACGTTTTTTTTGTAAAAAATTTATTTAGAAAAAATATTATGCCATTTTTACATAATTTTACTACGACACGTGTTTCTGGTAATAATGAACGTCTTCAGGTAAACGTGGAATTTTACATATTATTAAAATTTTTTGAATCAATTAAAAAAATTATTTTACTCAACAAAAAAATAATTTTTGAAACTTTAGATAAAACAAAAATTAAAAACATTTAATATTTTATTAATCATTTTAAAAACAAATAATTATTTATAATAAAATGGATAAATATAACCAATATTTTTGTTATAAAACCATTACAACAAAAAATTATATGTAATAATTTTAATATATTTTACTGTTAAACAATTTATATTTATACAACATATTTCTTTTATATATATATATATATATATATATATATATATATATATATATATATATATACAATTAGCGGCAATAATATAAGGAATGGAAACAACAAAGACATAAATATGTGTAGTACTTAAAAAGTAATGCATGATTAGCAATGAAATTTTTATTTTGAATAAAGATTAGGGTGCAATGCATAAATATTATACAAAGTTACAAAAATTTACATAATAGTTTGTTTGTTTTTTTTAAATAAAGTTTAAATGGAATAAAGGAAATAAGCTACTGGACAAAAGTTAAGGAACGATGTTTATAATTTGAATAAACTTTTACTTTACATTGTTAAAAAACTCGATGGAGCTTTTCAACAATAAGTAAAAGTTCATTTATCATTACGACTTTATACACAGATTTATATCTTTGTTGTGTCCGTTCCTTATACTATGGCCGCTACTGTATATATGGTGTCATGTATATAAGATTGCATGTGGTCTGTATATGTATCTATATATATAAATGTAAGTATTTGTGAGTTCGTAATTGTAATATGTGTGAATATATGTAAAATATAGTAATATAAATACATTTGCATGTATAGGTGTTTATGGGTATAGATCAGTTTATATATATATATATATATATATATATATAGAGAGAGAGAGAGAGAGAGAGAGAGAGAAAGAGAAAGTATTCCAATTGAAGGACATAAATTTCTTTTATTAATGTTTAATCTTACTTTCCCTTTTAATATTCTGGAATTAGAATTGTGAGATTGAAATTTTTTATCATCTCGAGGTAATTTCATTTTAAATTGATAATTTAATTTAAATTTAAATATATCACTCTTTAATTATTAATATTGATAGTAAAAATATTAAAATTAGAAATATTTGTTTTGAATTTTAAAACTTAAGTCATCACCTAACGTTAAACATTAACTGTGAAATTAAAAAAAAAATTTAAATAGATATAAACAAATGTAATTATTTGTAAATGCATGTGAAAAAATTTATATATGAATATATATAAATACCTGTGTATATCGATACATGTGTCTGTGCCTATGTGTGTAATTGCACATATAAATGAACGTATGTATATATTAAAAAATTTTTATATAAGTGTATATATGGGATATATATATATAAAAAAAAAAAAATCTTTAATATTACCTTCAAATATTACTGCATCTTAATTTGAAACCTAAACTTTATGTAAGGAAGATTACCCATCTAAAAATAGTTAGAAATTACATTCATGAATTAGATTCAAACTGATAAAGGTGTTACCTTAACAGTCATTTACAATATTAAAAAGATTACTATCAGTAAACTGTTATATTTTAAAAATTATTTTTAATGTGTTTCTATGAATGTATTAATAAATACAGTAAATTAATTTATATTAAATTAAGTTAAATTATTTTGTAAAATAGTTAATTTTAAATAAAAGCATCAAATTAATTTCTTCGTGGTATTTTTTAAACATTTAAATTACTATCAAACATTAAAATCTATTTTTACATAAATTAAAAAAATATACCACCTAAATACTTAAAACCTAATTACAGCTTCTGTCTCTTTAATTCCCCCTTCATTCTTTTTTTCATTTTCTTTTTTTCTCTCCCCACCCCATTTCAATATATCACTTCCGTTAAGTTAACGGTTTAAATAGGTCATGGTCTGGTCCCTCCTCAATTTCAATTTCCGAACTGTTAACAATTACACCACCTGCACATCCAAGATTAGAACCGTTAGCTTTCCCAAGTTTTAACTATCTATCAGGTCATCCCATAAGTTCTGTCCGAATTTTGAATAAAGAAAACAAGTGATTTAAAATGTTACATTTAATTACAGATTCAATCAACAATGTATTTTCCCTGATTATCTATGACTTCCTTCCATCTATTAACAAATTACTATCAGGTCATCCCATAAGTTCTGTCCGAATTTTGATATATCACATACAATTTGACCAAATGTTACATTTAATTACAGATTCAATCAACGATGTATTTTCCCTGATTATCTATGACTTCCTTCCATCTATTAACAAGCTTACCATCAGGTCATCCCATAAGTTCTGTCCGAATTTGAATACAAGAAAACAAGAGACCAAATGTTACATTTAATTACAGATTCAATCAACAATGTATTTTCCCTGATTATCTATGACTTCCTTCCATCTATTAACAATAGTTATAGATCAGACTAAACTTTGTTTAACCATGGTGAGATTCGAACCCGGGTCTTATGGTCAAAAGCGAACATTCAAACCACGCCACCACATACATATATACACACATATACATACAGACACACATATATATATATAATCACATACAGACATATATATATATATATATATATACACACACATATATATATATATATATATATATGTGTGTGTGTGTGTGTGTGTGTGTGTGTGTGTGTGTGACCTAAAATTCAAAATTTTTGATCACATGATCACATATACCATGAATGCCAACTGCAAATTCGCATTTAATCCGTGCTTCTGCGTGATTCGGATATTTTTCTCTTTTGATCAGCCATAAGCCTTGAATAAATATGAAGACGGGAAAAATGGCGAGGAAAAAAAAAGAGAAGGGATAAAAAGGCTAGAAACAAGACAACAGTAGTAGGCATCGTTGCTCGATTAAGCCCGTGGGGGGTGGGGGAATCAGAAACAGAAAAGCCGAGAAAATCTGAAGCCAGAATGCGAGAACGACAACGAGATTTCGACGATTAGAGAAGAAGAAAGCACAGAGCAATACTAATAAGAAATAAGAAAGAATGTAAGATGGAAACGTTATAAAGAAAGGAATTTAAAAAAAAACGTGAATAAAATAAATAAAACATATGAAGGAAAAAGATTGAAAGATATCTGTAAAAAAACAAAAACGAACGAAAAATAAGAATGGAGGAAGAAAGAATATAGAAAAATGAAGGAAAAACGAAAAGCTAAAAAAAAAAAATGAAGGTGAATAATATCAAAGAAAAAAGAAACGAAAAAAATGTCAGAATGATTCTATGTTCAATATTCAAAAATTTATTGAATGAATTTGGTTCTGAATTTTTCGCTGTATAATGTTTGAAATAATTGCTCTGAGACAAAGATAGAAGATATTATTTGTGAATAAATATTTCGGAAGGAAAATAAATGGTTTTACACCGGGCTCTAGAAAAGAGCAAACAAATAATCGACCAAACTATAGGAAAATAAAATAAAATTAATAAAGAAAAAAAAAACGAAGAAGAATTAGTGAAGAAAATAAAATTAAACCGCGAAGAAAGAAGTAAACAAACAAAAACACAAAGGAGAATAAAATAAGAAAATGTGGATAGGTAAAGAAAGAAAGAAAGAAAGAAAGAAAGACATGAATAAAATAAACGAAGCAGAAAGAAAAAAGAAATGAATCAAAAAAGGTAAAGAAAGAATGAAAAAAAAGGAAAGAAAGAATGAAGAAGGAAGGAAAGAAAGAAAAAATGAAATGAAAGAAATGAAGAAAGAAAGAAATGAAAGAAGGAAAGAAAGAAAGAAATGAAAGAAAGAAAGAAAGAAAGAAATGAAAGAAAGAAAGACATGAATAAAATAAGCGAAAATATATTAAAAAAAGTTAAAAAAATCAAAAAAAGAAAAAGAAAGAAATGAAAGAAAAGAATGAAAAAAATTTATTGAAAAAAGAAGGAAGGAGGAAAAAAAATGAAAAAAAGAAGGTTGAAATGAAAAAAAAGAAAATGAAGAAAGAAAGAAAGAAAGAAAGAAGGAAAAAAATATGCTGTATGAACAAAGAAATAGCGCTTTAACAGAACGAAAGAAAAAAAGAAAGAAATTTATATGTGTGCTGAAGGAATAAATATGTCGAAAGGAAAAAAAAAAAAAAAAGATATGTTAAAAAATAAAAGAAAAAAAAAAGATAAAAGAAAAGAAAGAAAAAAAAAAGATTAAGAAAGAAAGCTAAATGAATGATGAACGAACAATAAAGAATGTTTAAAAAAAGAAAAAAAAGAATAAAGTACATATCTTGCGGGAAAGAAAGAAAGAAAGAAAGAAAGAAAGAAAGGATTAAAGAAAGAAAAAAAGAAAGAAAGAAAGAAAATGAACAATAGAAGGGTAAAAGAAGAGTGAAAAGAAAGAAAGTAAGCAGGTAATGAAAGAAGAAGAAAGATGCCGTGGAAAAAGAAAAAAAGAAAAAAGTACAAAAAAGAAGAAAGAAAGAGATTTTAACAGAAAGAAAGAAATTAGAGAAGTAATGAAAGAAGAATGAAAATGAAGACGAGAAAGAAAGAAAATACATTGAAGGAAAAAAGGAATGAAGAGATTTAAGCGTACGAAAGAAAGTAAAAAAGAAAGAAAGAACGAAAGCAAGTGAAAGAAAGAAATATAAGCGAACGAAAGTAAACAAAGAAAGAAAATTAAGGAAAAAAGAACGAAAGAAAATGAAAAAGAATAAAACAAAAGAAAATAAAATGAAAAAGAAAGAAAGAGATTTAAGCGTAAAAAGTGAAATTAAATAAGGAATAAAAGAAGAGGAAAGAAGAAAAGAAATAAAGAGAAAAAGAAAGAAACGAAAAGAGTTCAGTGCAAAATGAAAGAAAGAAGAAAGGTATGCATAAAAGAAAGAAAGTAAACAGGTAATAAAAGAAGAAAAGAAATGAAGCTGAAAAGGAAGAAAAATACATTTAAAAAAGAAAGAAGTGAAGAGATTTAAGCGTAAAACAAAGAAAGAAAGAACAGCAGAAAGAAAGAAAGAAAGAAAGAAAGAAAGAAAGAAGGCATTAGCTATTAAAAGAAAGAAATGCACTGACGCTTTAAAGAAAGAAAGAAAAAGAAAGAAAGAAAGGCAATGACGCTTAAAAGAAAGAAAAAGAAAGAAAGGCAATGACGCTTTAAAGAAAGAAAGAAAGAAAGAAAGAAAGAAAGACATTGCCGATTAAAAGGAAGAAAGAAATGCACTGACGCTTTAAAGAAAGAAAGAAAAAGAAAGAAAGAAAAAGAAAGAAAGGCAATGACGCTTAAAAGAAAGAAAAAGAAAGAAAGGCAATGATGCTTTAAAGAAAGAAAGAAAGAAATAAAGAAAGAAAGACATTGCCGATTAAAAGGAAGAAAGAAATGCACTGACGCTTTAAAGAAAGAAAAAGAAAGAAAGGCAATGACGCGTAAAAGAAAGAAAGAAAAAGAAAGAAAGGCAATGACGTTTTAAAGAAAGAAAGAAAGAAAAAAAGGCATTGACGATTAAAAGAAAGAAAGAAAAAGAAAGAACGGCAATGACTCCTAAAAGAAAGAAAGAAAAAGAAGGAAAAGATTGAGGCTTAAAAGAAAGAATGAAAAACAGAAAGAAAGAAAGAAAGAGAGAGAGAAAGAAAAAAGAAAGGAAGAAAAAGCAAGAAAGAAAGGCATTGACGCTTAAAAGAAAGAAAGAAGAAAAAAGGAAAGGAAAGAAAGAAAATAAAGTGAAGAAAGAAAATAAAGGGAAGAAAGAAAGAAAGAGATTTAAGCGGAAAGAAAGAAAGAAAGAATGAATGAATGAACATAAGAAAGAAAGAAAGAAGGAAAGAAGGAAAGAAAGAAAGTGAATTTATCAAAAGACAAACCCAAACCAATCAAATAAAAAAAAATAAAATTCCATGGAAAGTAAAAAAAGAAATCTTAAAACAAAAAACAAAATAAAACGAAAAATGCAACAAAAAAACAAATGCCCAAATATAAGGCGAAATCAAACTAAGAAAGACGATCGGAAATAACCCCTCCCACCCGACCGTGTGGATTTTCGGATTAATTTTTCATTCCTTTCAGCCATTAGACTGATTCGTTTTCTCCGTTTTTCGTTTCGTTACCCTGGCAATTCCAACTTAACATTCTGTGTTTTGTTTGTATCGCACGTCGGATTCTTCTCCTCTGTTATCGAGCAACTCAAAAAGGTTCTCAGGAAGACAGCTTTTTGTTTTGGCTGGGAGGAGGGGTAAATCTTTTATCTTTTAGGGTTTTGCTTTGTGTTTTCTCAAGAGAAGCGATTCGGAAGATAAAACATACAATATATCAGTTTCATCTTCTTCCGTATTGGGGATTTTCTCATTCTATTTTTCATTTTGTTACTATTTTGAACGGGGAGGGGTTTAATATACATCCTCCCCAAACTTTACCTCTCTTATCACCTACTATCAGTGTGTGTGTGTGTGTGTGTGTGTGTCTGTCTCCCTCTCTTTCAATCTCTTGTCCTTGTATAATACTAAAATACGATATATATATATATATATTATAAATTAATTGATTTAAAATAGTTTTTTTTCCGCTACACAGTTCTAACCATGTTTCAAAAATAGAAGCTAACAGCCCCGAATTTAATTTTGCAATTAAATTAAAAGCATTAGTTCCATTTCATCCTCAAGCGATTTTTGGAGTAACTTTTAAAATTACTGGGTTTTAAAGACACAGCTAAAATCACGTTTCCATGGTTACAGATAAATCTACTTCAATTGGACAATGGTTATCTGGGTTTTCCTTATGTCAGTATCATTGTATCGGTTATTAGCTACATTTTGGTAAGGGGTAGGGATGTATTTTTCAATGAAAACTGACATCCGTTGAATGCATGTCGTCTGGATTTTTAAAAAAAAATTATTGTTAACGGTAAAAAAATTCTTACAGCATTTTTTATCATTTTTCCATTTTTTTTACCGTTAACAATAACTAGATATTTAATTGCAAAATTAAATTCGGGGCTTTTAGCTTTCTATTTTTGAAACATGGTTAGAACTGTGTAGCGGAAAAAAACATATTTTAAATCAATTAATTTATAATATCAATGCTCTGTAAATTTACATTGAGTACTATTTTGACAGAAAAAATAAAATATCTATAAGAACACCGGATTATATATCTTACTGTTCTTTATTTATATATATATATATATATATATATATATATATATATATATATATATATATATGTTGAACTCTACCGTTGTTTTTTAGACGTATGACTGTCTTTCAGTTCAGTTTTTATGTTTATGTTTCGTCTGAGACGAGAATCCTGCACGGGATTTGCCAACAAATCCACATGAAGAGTATACTAAAGGGTTGACCATCATATGGGTTGATGTATTTGCCTGAGATTTAGTGTTGGTTCTTAATTCTCTCAGATGGTTCAGACAATTCTTTTCAAAGTTACTTATACCTCGGTAGCAAGTGTTTCACCAGTTTTTCTCGGTTTTCAACAGCAAGTTCGAACTCCTCTCTAAGGATATTTGCAGCAATTAAATTGTATTTAAGTTTGTCCTTAAAGCGTAACCAAGGATGGCCGACGTTAAGCTTACCATGAAAAAGTTGACAATACATGAGGATTTTCGTCATCCGATCATCACTCATTCTAATGACATGATCAATCCATCTGAACTTTAAAAGGATTCGATAACAACGACGCCATATCTGATGAAAAGATCAGGGTTAGATATTCACCAAATGTGGCGTCGGTGGTATCGATCTTTATATATATATATATATATATATATATATATACAAACAAACCATTTATATATAAACAAAACCTATATATATATATATATATATATATATATATATATATATATATATATATATATATAATTATTTATTTAAAAATATGATTCCAAATCGCGACATAATTATATTTATGCTGTACTTTTGTATCGAGCACTATTTTTTAAAAATAATAACTAAAATACTAAGGAATTTTTGGATTATTTACCTAACCAGTTCCTTCCTATTTTCTATATATTTTCATATATATATATATATATATATATATATATATATATATATATATATATACAGGGTGTTTAAAAAGAATACGCCAAAATCATCACTTGATGTGTCAAAAACGAAACAATTTACAAACCTCTAGCATGAACACATGTATTGTATAAACATTCAAGTTTCATTTCATGTTTTATAAGTGCCTAATATGGCCACCACCGGCTGCGCAGACAACATCAAGCCGATATGAGAATTCCTCCCAAACGCGCCTCAGCATGTCACCGTCCACCATGTTGATTGCAGCTGTTATTCGATTTTTCAAGTCATCGATACTTGCTGGAAGTGCTGGAACATAAAGTTGGTCTTTAACATACCCCCACAAGAAAAAGTCACACACAGTGAGGTCCGGGAATCTGGCAGGCCAAGCACAGAGAGCAAGGTCCTTTAGCACCTCTCCTCCTAATCCATCACTGAGGCACGTTTTCATTCAGATAAGCTCTAACCCCGAGATGCCAATGGGGTGGTGCTCCATCTTACTGAAAAATGAAGTCATTCGAATCTGCTTGGAGTAAAGTGAATTGCCAGTTTTGGAGCATTTTGAGATAGGTTTGTCCTGTAACAGTGTTTCCTTCAAAGAAAAAGGGACCATAGACCTTGTCTTGAGACACAGCACAGAAGACGTTCACTTTAGGGGAATCTATTTCATGCTCAACAGTTTCATGGGGGTGCTCTGTTCCCCAAATTCACACATTGTGATGATTGACTGGGCCGTCACTAAAAACTAAACGTGAAAAAATAGAGTTTCATCACCTTCCTCCATCTCCAGCATTGACTCACTGAATGTCCTCCGCATCACCTTGTCATCATTAGTAAGTGCTTGGACGAGGCTTAGTTTGTATGGTTTCATGTGTAATCGTCTCTTTGACACACGCCAGACAGTGGTATGAGGGATGGCAAGCTGAAGACTTGCTCGACGTACGGACTTACGTGGTCTGCTCTCAAATACATCATGGATCCTCTCCACTTGCTCCTCTGTAACACGTGGTCTTCCAGGATTCTTTCCTTTGCACAGGCACCCACTCTCTTTAAACTGTCTAACCCCGCCCCCGTCGAATGCTCTCACGATGGGGCGATCAATGCCGAATTCTGTTCTGAAAGCACGCTGCACCGTGACAATGGCGTTTGTGTTCGCGAACTCAAGCAAACAAAACGCCTTCTGCTGAGGAATCGCCATTTTGATTGATCTTCCCACAATTCAGTTGCACCGGAAATTATACTAACGACAGCGGTGAAACTGACACCCAATCAAACTTTGGTCAGTACTCTATCAAATAACCACTGATTCAGTCCAGTATAATGCTATATATCTGAAAAAACAGCGTAATGATTTTGACGTATTCTTTTTGAAACACCATATATATATATATATATATATATATATATATATATATATATATATATACACCAACGGCTTCCCATACTTAATACTTCTCGTTTGCACTCTCGCATGGTCATGTGTGAGGTCACGAGCTGCGACGCGATTTTTACTTCCGCGTCTCGTATACACGAGTTTCTTTGAAATTTTTCATGCAACAAAAACAGACTATCATTATTGTTTGGTCCGTGTAATAGTTAATATATTGAAAAGTAATTGGCATCTTTGATAATGGCTTATGTAAACCGAAAGCTTAGATTAGTTTTAAACATGTATCAAGATGGTTATTTCCTTTCGTCTTTCAATGACAATGTTATTAAGCTTATCAGACAATATCCTTGCATGGAGTATTGCTGCCATATATGGTTTGGAGCCACTTCGGGGTTCTTGATAAGCTTCAGAGGCGGATAAGCAATATAATTGGCCCTGTTTTGGCATCTTTTATATACAGTCGCTTCTCTCACAGACGCGCCGTCGCTTCTCTCTGGCTTTTTTACAAATACTTTCATGACAATTGCTCCGAGGAGCTGATTCCCTGGTTCCCAGACTTCATGAGTTCAAGCGCCCTACGAGACTGGCATCCCGCTCTCACCCTTTCACTGTTGAAACTATTAAATTTAGCCGTCTCTTCTACTCCAATAGCTTCATATCTAGCACCTCTCGCCTGTGGAACTACCTTCCCTATTCCAGTCTCCCTGAGAGCTATAACCTCCAACTATTCAAATGTAATGTCAATCGACATCTCCAGTTTCCTTGATCTATCTACTATCCTTCTCCTCATCCTTTCCTCTATCACTCCTATCTGAACTTGCTCCAATTCTGTAACCCCTTGCGTCCTAATGGCTTCCCACCTTGCTTGGGGTGAATCGATTAAAAATATGAAAGGAACTTACTATTATTTAATGAAACATGCATCAATGAAAAATTGCTACCTAAATACCACAAATATATAAATATATATATATATATATATATATATATAATATATATATATTAAGCGTTTCATCCCAATCAAGGCGGGAAGCCACTAGGACGCAAGGGGTTACAGAAAATTTGGAGCAAGATCAGATAGGAGTGATAGAAGAAAGGATGAGGAGAAGAGAAGTGGATAGATCAAGGCAACTGGAGATACAGAGGCCAGTGAGAGAGAGAGAGAGAGAGAGAGAGTACCGGGAACCCCTTCCTAAACAAGAAACAAGGCGTAAGCCTCTACTCATGTCCAAGAGAAGGGGGGTGCATACAACGCATCTCATCAGGCGATTGTAAATTACTCCCGAGTGGATGATTAAATCAGATTTAAAAGAAAAATAAAGCCTCTTTTTACGAAAAAAAAAAAAAAAGAGGAAAGCTTCTTTAAGGTTTGTTGGCTTTGCTTATATCAACCAATCAGATAACACCTACGTTAAATTTAAACTAAGGGAAGAAACAAAAAATTAGGAAATTATATTCCAGAAACGGGTCATGACCTGTTTCTGGAAAATATGTCGTATATATATCGTATTTTAGCATTGTACAAGAACAGGAAACTGAAAGAGAGAGAGAGAGAGAGAGAGAGAGAGACAGAGAAAGAGAGAGATACTAGTTGATAAGAGAGGTAAAGATTGGGGAGGATGCATATTAATCCCCTCCCCGTAGGTTTGAAATCAATGACAGCAACAGACGTTAAACAAGAGCGGATGTAAATGGATGCATATTATACATTACACAATGTCATTTCATAAGAAGTAGTAATCCAACAAAATGCTAGACAAGTTATATGCTTTACGAGTTTCCCACATAAAACCCATTGTTATAGTTGATAAATAAATGGCTTTTTTAAGAAAACAATAAATAATTTAAATCCGTCGATTTACTAGGCAAATTAATATCGGTTCAACGAAAATTTAAAAAAAAAAAATGTCAAATTCCAAATCTAACTAAATTGTACGGTAAAAGGTAGACTGTGTTTACAATTTACATTTAACTCGGATCTCTGGTTTAATAATGTATTCTTATCAAAAAACCTGATAATTTGCAATTTTTCATTCAAACACAGAAAACAGGGTTCATAAAAGGATCTACATGTCCTTGCCGTATTTAAAATTTTCCATTCCACTGCAAAAATTGTTTAGAAATTGATGTATTATTCCTATAAGTATTATTAGTAAAAGACAATATATGTTGATACCACCTAGTCTTGAAAAAGTCTTAGTACCACCAATATAGAACTTTTCAACCGTCGGATTTTCCATTGTAGAGATAAAACAAAAATAAACAAGAGATTTAGTTAAAAATTTGTTGGGCAATATTTGTCTATTTGTATTGAGACCTATTTTAAATTAAATGTTACGAACGTTGAAATTGTACTCTATTCGTTCTCATCTTACTAGGATATATATATATATATATATATATATATATATATATATATATATATATATATATATATATATGAGTGTGTGGAAGCGTGTGTGTGTGTGTGCGTGCATAAGTGTGTGCGTGTATGAGTGTGGGTGTGTGGTTGTGTGTCTGTATATCTATCGCTCTCTCTCTCTCTCTCTCTCTATAATATATATATATATATATATATATATATATATATATATAATGCGATGGGTAAAATGTCGCTATTTTATATTTTAAGTTCGCGCATGCCCGGAGTTTGTTATTGAATTTGCCGACGGTACAGTACAGTAGAGTCAGTTGGGCACCGTCTGTTAGAATAAGATCACCATGACACAAGATATTTGGAAACGACATGCTGTACTGCTTGGTATTCGCACCGGTAGTTTCAATACGATTGTTTCAGAGTATTTTTGGAGTCAAGCTGAGGACAGACCATCGGATTCGGAAAGAGTTGGATGAGTCTAATGGTGATTACGAAGGTGTTTGGAGAGATCACTAGTGATGGTGACGTTATGCCTCCATTCATATTCCTACAGGGCCTCAGACTCAACAAGGAAGTCTAAATCAACTGCCTTCAGGAGGTAGTGTTGGCAAGGGGGTGGCTGTTGGACAAACCCTACGTCTGGCAACAGGACTGCACCATGTCACGCAATCAGGAGAAACAGTCATGGCTCACAGACAAATTCTAGTTACCTAACTCACCAGACAGCAACACATTGGTTATTATGTGTCGAGTGCAATTGAGAGAGAGACCAACACAAAAACTGAACTGAAGGCAAGGATTATGGCAGCATTCACCAATTTGAACAAGGAGACCGCCCAGAAGAGTTGCAGGTGATTCCGAAGTCATCTGGAGGCCGTGGTTGAAGTCAATGGCGATTTTCTTGAATAAATGTTTTCTTTAGTATGACAAGGTATTTTTGTGCAATTTTGGTAAATATATCTGTTAAAATGAGATGTCAGTGCTATTTTCATTTTGGTGTCATTTAGACGACAATTTATCCATTGCAACCGGTACACACATACACACACACGCACACATGTCTGTGTGTATTCATTCATTTATTCATTTATCCATCGCACCCATATATATATTTTTTCTGTAGTTCACTGCTAACAGCAAGCAGAAATATTTCTCCTCCCAATGATGGCCATTTCGGTCGAAATTAGTCGAGGAATCTAAATGGAATAATAATAATAAAAAAAACGAAAGAATATTAATCTACAACCCAGTGTGTCTAAAGATTTTAATTTTTAATTTTAATTTTCAAATTGTTCAATATATATATATATATATATATATATATATATATGTATGTATATGTGTGTGTGTGTTTCTATATATATATATATATATATATATATATATATTCATTTTCTCCAGCAAAAGACATTCATTTCTGTAGTTCACTACTACCAGCAAGCAGAAATATTTCTGCTCCTGATGATGGCCATTTCGGTCGAAACTAGTCGAGGAATCTAAATGGAATAATAATAAAAAAACGAAAGAATATTAATCTACAACCCAGTGTGTCTAAAGATTTTAATTTTTTAATATTTTTTATTGTTCAATATATATATATATATATATATATATATATATATATATATATATAAAAGGAAGAGTTTATAATAGTTCCAACGAGATAAAAGTGTGTCTATTAAAAAAAAGAGAGATACCGAAAACGTTTTTTGATTGTAATATTCTGCTTTATTTTCCATAATTTTACTACACGTGTTTCTGATCTCGCGACCGTCATCAGGTAAAGGGTGGAGATTTCCACATATTATTAAAAATAATTATTTTTTTCTTCTTTATATTTTTCGATGTTAAATATTCTACATATGAGACATTCTCTTTTTTATGTGTTAGTAATCCGAATGTCTTTCTTAAACTGGCAGTGAAGAGTTCCGCGCGAAAGGTCGTAAAACAATTAAGAGAAATGATGAATTACTTATCTGTATCTTATCTTTTAATGTTTTAATGACATATTTCTGTTCTTAGATCTATTTCCATTTTCGTGTTTCTGTCAGCATGCGTGCATATATGTGTATATTCCCTCCCCATACATACACACTGTTTCACTACGAGGAATTAGTAAACACATTTGTACATATACACACACACACACCATCCGAATACAAGGAATCAGTACACACACACACACATACATGCACACATACGTACACACACATACTTCCCAAGTTACATGGAACCAGTGTACACATACACACATACACACATATATACGTATATACGTGCATACATACACACGTACTTCTTAAGTTATGTGGGGTTTGTTTGCGTGACCGTGAGTAGTTCCTTGCTTTTGTCAACATGTATATATATATATATATGTGTGTGTGTGTGTTCTGTGTGTGTGTGTGTGTGTGTGTGTGTGTGTGTGTGTGTGTGTGTGTGTGTGTGTGTGTGTGTGTGAAAATATATAGAAAATAGGAAAGAAATCGTTAGGTAAATAATCCAATGTAGCGTGTTTGATCACTGTATTTGGTCACCTTGTGTGCATGTTGTGTGCTTTTGCGCGTGGGTTTTTTTTTCTTGTATTTGTAGGTACGAATAATCGTCTGTTTGATATATTGGCATGATATTAAATTTACCCTGGTTACATTTGAAGATGTTGTCGGAGTCCTTCAGTTCGTAACCCTTTCACCAGGGGTCTCTCTTTCCTGGCTATAAATAGCCAATGACTTTTCGATCGATCTCTTTTTTCCTTTCAGGCCTGTGCACCAACACCGCGAGGTAAATTTCTCTTATTCCTAGAGGATTTCAACTATCATCCTCGAAATGTAGTCGCTAACAAGGAATAGCGTGGAAACACGCTAAAGCACAATACACACGTACGCACACACAGAATATTCACACACGCACGCACATACAGAATTATTCACACACACTTCGTCCTTTGTACTGTTTCCATGTATTGTAACTTGTTATTAATATATATTTGTATATACATATATTATCGGTCTTGTTTTGTTTGCTTTTTTTTCCTTCTGTTTTGACTTAATCAAAGTCCAAGGTATTTTTATGTAGTTGGGCTCGGCGGGCAGGAGTATCTGAACCTTGCGTTTCTTATACGTCTGACTTATATCAACAACAAGTGGCAACCGCCATTAAACAAACAACAAACCGTAACCGCCACGGCCCTCTACAATGTGTTGTGATACAAAAAGTTTTCTGTTGTCTGGTAATTTTTATGTTTTTTTTGAAAAAGGAGACCCTGTTGTTCAGTTGTTGGCTGATACCTATATATGACTTCTTGCATAAATGCATTTAAGTACATAAATTACATTTTTGGAGTTGCAGTTTAAGTTTTTTTTATTTATTGTGAATGTCGTTTTGGGGTTTTCAAAAGTAGAGATAATTAGAGACATACATAGATAGATAGATAGATAGATAGATAGATAGATAGATAGATAGATAGATAGATTTGAATGTACTGAGATAGAAACATAATGAGATAGATAGGTATAGATAGATAGATAGATAGATAGATAGATAGATTTTTTATAAAAGATTGTTAACTCTGGTCCTAAATGAAAATCAAATTTTGTACATAATGTATTTTTATTCCCTGAGAAATGCAGGTTCAAATCCTACTGGAGGGCATAAAATGGAAACGCCTTCCCAAATACGAGTATGCACTAAAAATAACGTTTAAAGTGATGAAAATTTGTCGAATATATATATATATATATATATATATATATATATATATATATAAAATGGATCGTGTGTGTGTGTGTGTGTGTGTTCATTCATTTATTTATTCATTCATTTATCCATCGCAAAACCTATATATATATATATATATATATATATATATATAGATAGATAGATAGATAGATAGATAGATATGCATCAATCACTGAGATAGATAGATAGATAGATAGATAGATAGATAGATAGATATGCATCAATCACTGAGATAGATAGATAGATAGATAGATAGATAGATAGATAGATAATGTGACAACCTATAAAAGGCTTACCAACGCAAGACTTATGATTTTGTTGTAAGTTTCCCCGTTATTTCTGTCTTGAAATCTAAATTCGTTTATTTTCCCCCCGACGTTTTTGACAGAGAACATCTCGTATATTTCACAATCAACCTATGTATGTTTTTTTTTATTCTTTTGTTTATCAATTACCATTGATTCCATTTTAAATTTCCCTTTCCTATTCTAACCAAGAAATATCTATTTCCAGACTTTCTTCATAGGTTGAACCGAATATTTCTCCACCAATTTAAATCTCTCTTTAATATTCATCGCTATTTTGCATCATCAACGGAATTGCAGTTTGTGCTAACCATGCTCATAGAGATTTTCTGAACGAGAACTGCTGTTTACGAACACTAAGAACTTTGATGGAAAATTATCTTTAAAACATTTATGATATTATTAAGAAGGATTTTTATTATTAAATTATATTTTTGATCCTTTTTATATCATTCAAAATTTTGGTAAAAATCTTTCTGCCTAAATGTCTGGACAACATGTAGACGTTTAATGTAGTTTATGCAGAGGGCTAACTGGGACTCCGGCCAGAAACTAAAGGGGTCTCTGGTCCAGCTTAGAAAACAGCAATGATAATTTTGAAGAAATAACTTAGAATTCCCCAATTCACTCCATGGAACTTCAAAACCTCATTGTAACCCTGATTCTGACTAGAAGTTCCAAACAAAAGTCCAATTTGAACGAAGAGCTGCCTAACTATTGAGGTAAATATTTCTAGTCTGTCTATATTTCTGAGATGAGGTATTATGTACATTATTTACATTATTCGGACTATTGTCCTCAGCTTTGTCGCCATATTTATTACAACGTTTTGTAGGCTCCGGCCTTCTTCAGGTAGTTGGAATCTCGAACTGAACCTTTTATTTCGCTCACTAGGGTAGACTGTTCTAGTTGAAACGTGCCATGTCTAATGGATTATAGTTATTAGTTATCTAAATATAATTAATTTTCCTATTTATCAAACTTATTGATTCTGGTAAGGACACATGGCACAGTGGATAAAGGCGTTGGTTAGATCCAGTGACAGGATTTTAAAAATTTAACAGTTCAATAAACTTAACGCATTGGAGAACTTTCAGAGGGATTTCCAGAGATAATATGCAATGTGATTTGGCCCTGATCTGGCATCTCGGTTACAGTCGTATTCTCACAGACCTAAATCGCTTTCTTCTATCTTTTCTATATAAATATTTCATATATAACTTATCCGACATATGTTTTTGCTGGTTCCCGAAACAAATGATGAATTTCAACGTGCTTTGGCATCTCAGTCCCACACTTTCAGTGTCTAAACAGTTAAATATAGCCGCCTCTTCTACTCCAATGGTTTCATGTCTAACACTTCCCGTCTGTGGAACTCCCTTCCTCTTACTTGCTAGAATCTCCAACTATTCAAATGCAATCCCAATCGAGATCTCTAGATGCTTTGATCTATTCTTCCCCGTCCTTCTCTCCATCCTTTCCTTTTTCACGCCTTTTTTACACTTGGCCTCATTCTCTGTAACCTCTTGGATGCTAGTTGCGCTCCTACCTTGCTTGGGGTGAAAAGCTTGAATAAATAAATAAATAAACAAACTTAAACGTTAATTTTAGTGGATACCTATATTGGAGTAGAATTTCTGTTTATATATTAGCCGGTATATTTTATTATTTTCATCTGTTTGCTTGAATATTCGAGAAATCTTATTAGAAAAAAAAACATTATATGATATTTTTGCAACAAAACATTTATGATGTCATTTTTCCTTTCAAAATAAAACATATGACACCCACATACATCATTAAAACCCATCAAAATTACTGTTATCTCCATCTGATACAAAATCATCAGAAATATCTTACAGTTTTGAGTCCCAGTAGGTCGTCTTATACGACGGACATCAGCTAGAATCACAATGATTTACTTAGATTTCGGGTTTTGTCTTTTCGATAGGTCGTCTTATACGGTAATAATATTGATTCTTTTTTTTGTTGAAAAAATTAAAAAATTTTTTTTTCTTTTTTTTTTAAGTATATTTAAATACGAAGAAAATTAGTAAATATTAGGTTGGCCAGAATTTCCTGACTCATTTAAGAAACGGAACGAAAATAAATCTTGATCACTGTCTGGTGGAATTTCCTAGGAGTACTGCATTTCGAGCTTGTTCCACACGGTCGCGCCATCAAAATAAAACTGTATTATATATAAGGGAATGGAATGTTCTGACGTAAATATTAAATATAATATTTGATTCGGCGTAAAGATTTTTTCGATAGAGGGACAATAAGGCGTCAGATTACAATATCGTCATTATAGTCAAATCTATCTCTCTCTCTCTCTTGATTCTCTTTTGTCGACAAAAAATGTTAACTCATACAAAATCTCTATTGTTTAATAGATTATTATTATTTTTAAATTTAATTATGTGCAATTTTTCATGGAGGCACAAAGGGCATGGGTCATCCCAAGTTTTTACATGATCTAGCCCTGTTTATAATTTTCCATTTTACTTTAGGGTGTCCTATTTGTTTCCTTCAGATGCCAGAAATATTTAGATAGGGAAGTCTGATTTTTTTTTTTATATTATTGAAAGAGAACTTATGCTGCCTCCATCTATCTTTAAAATTATTCTTCGTGGACCCAATGTATATCATATTAGTGCTAGGGCTCTCAGTGTGGATGATATAGTACATTGGTATACCACAGATTTAATGCAGCATTTATTTTCTAATGGGCAGTCTTCTAGGTTTCTACAGTTACATAACCCCATTTTTATTGTCTGATTTAATGCAGGTTTTTTATTATGAACTGTTTAGGCATGGGGGTTTGTTTTAAGATCTTATTATTGTGTTTTTTTATTATACGTTCAAGATTTTCAGAGCAGCTGTAACTCAGTGTTAGGGTGTTCTTATTGAATATATTTTAAATTTACTATTGGTGGGAAAGTGTTTATCAATTAGAGCTAAGAATTTCTGTCCTAGTTTTTTATACTAACCATTTGGTTGAACGGAGGGTATACCAAATGATTTTTTTTTTTGTTTTTTTTTTATCTTATGGCCAGTGTAATCGTTCTATAGTTAATATTAGCATTTTTATAACCACTATTTTTTAGGGCAGTGTTATAGAAGCCATTGTGTTGTTGGAATATTTCCTTGTTAGCGGAGTTAATGCTTTGAATTATTAGCTAAAAACAAGCACACAATATCATAACTTGATTAATCCATAGCCCAATCTTCAGATTCATGGTCTGAATAATTAGCTAAGAACAAGCATACAATATAATAACTTTCATAATCCATAGCCCAAATAAATAGTTTAAATACCCTACAAAAAAGATAACCCTTTATGAAGTCGTCAAAAAACAAACGTTACGGCAGTTTTTTTTTATCTGCACAAACCCCTTTCATAAAAAAATAAAATGAAAAAATAAATAAATCTCCATAGACACGCATGGCAGACTAGGGTTAATACATCTTCCGTTTCAAATTTAGACACCCCCACCTTTCCCTGACTTGACATCTATGAAAGTAACTCTATACTGATACTTATTATTAACACCCAACACACGCCTACCCAATTTAAACAATTCGCCCTAGCTGTTACCATGGAAATTTTGATTTCAATTATTAAAACACGTAAATTTCAGAAATACGTTATTCCAAAAAAATTTCGCTTGAAGATGGAACAGAGCTTACTTTAACTCAATTTAATTCAAATAATTATATTGAAGTTTTCGGCTCTTTATTTTTGAAACATGAGACCTCTTATGTCGCGATTTGGAATCATATTTTTAAATAAATAATTATATTTATGCTCTACTATTGTATCGAGCACTATTTTTTAAAAATAATAACTAAAATACTAAGGAACTTTGGATTATTTACCTAACCAGTTCCTTCCTATTTTCTATTTATTTTCACACACACACACACACACACACACACACACACACACATATATATATATATATATATATATATATATATATATATATATATATTCATGAACGTTTCATTAAATAATATAGACAAGTGTTGTCTATTTATTTTATGTACATTTTTTCCGTAACGTCTGATAAGTTTAATAACATTATCGTTGAACGAAGAAAGAAATTCACAATATTGACCCCTATTTTTTTTAATGCAATCTAAGCTTTCGGCTTACATAAGCCATTATCAAAGATGTCAATTACAACATATTAAGCAATATACGGACACGACAGTGATGATAGTCTGTCATTGTTTACATATATGATTTCTAAGCAACGATAAACACGTGCATATAAGACGCTAGAAGCGAAAATTAGATAAATTATTTTCTGTTATGGTACAGTTAGTGAATTAAATAATAAATTTTTGTTATTCTTTATGTTTGTCAGGAAGAGCAACTTTTCTATTTTGAAATATTTTATGGGCTTGGTTAATTCTGGTTAATAGCAATAAAATGTTATGGTAAACAAAAGTAAATTAATTAGCGATACTGTTTGAATTATAAGTCACTTGCTTATATGCTTTGTTTTTTTTTATTATAAGTAACTGTGTAGTGACTTAATTCCAACCATATATATATATATGTGTGTGTGTGTGTGTGCGTGTGTGTGCGTGTGTGTGGTGAGAGAATAGCAGAGAATGAGCAATAGAAAGACGAACAGACTGAATATATATATATATGTGTGTGTGTGTTTGTCTGTGTGTGCGTATGTGTAATGAGAGAGATATAGAAAGAAAAAGATGGAAAGAGATCAAGACAGAAAGAGAGATAGCTAAACTGGCATTAAGTGAAGATTTCAGTTTAAAATTAGTCTTTGTATTTACATAAGAATCCTCCATAACTTCATAGGCACTCTCTCAAGTAGGCAAGTCAGCTAGATAGATAAGTATCTCAAATTATATAAATATACATGAAAGCCAATAATGTTTATGAAAAATTAAAAAAAAAAAAAAAAAAACTTCGTGGTTTGTCCAGCAGTCTTATCATATATAAATGGCCGACGTCTCAGAGACACTTGGGCATTTTTTCAAAAGAGCTCGAATTTAAATAGGAATATTTCCGTGGCAAAATATTTCTGTACCAGAACGTGAGGAAAATGACTTACTAGGCGAAAATTATTTCTACTTTTGCAAGCAAAAGTAACTCAGCCGAATACAGATATATACACAGGCTCGCAAATTTTATATATATATATATATATATATATATATATATATATATATATATATATATATATATATATATATGCCAGTTTGTTCGCATATTGGCTTTTGTAAGAAGAGAATTACAGTTATAATACGGTGGGGATATGCAGTCGTGTGGTGG